AGCACTGGGAGACACTGGTGCTGTGGTTCTCTGGGGGTCTCAGTGCAGTCAGCTGTGCCAGAGCCCAGGCTGGGGGATGTGGCTGGTTCCTGGGCACTGGGCAGTGATGGGACAGTGCTGTCCTCAAATCCTGTGCCTGTCCTGCAGGATGGTGAGCCTTGGCACGGGCAGGCTGGGTCCTCGGAGCCCCCACTGCTGCAGAGGCAAGCAGAGCCAGGCTGGATTCAGCATCTGCACCTGATGGATGAGTTTTATCAAGTGCTACAACAACCCAGAAAACTGCACCAGCCCCAAGGGTGCTTGGAGACCAAAGGCAGTATTTCACCTCCCTGCTGCCCTGTCAGACCAGCTCTGAAGGCTCCTTTGTACAGAACCCAACCAGCGTTAAGCACTGAACAGATATTAAAAAAGGATAAAGCTGACCTGCAGCCCTGTCCTACTGGGTAAAAAGCCACTGTCTTGTGTTTTCCCTGGAGAAGTAACTAGGAGTAAAGCCTGAATAAAACCAGGGAGACGAAGGGAGGTAATCTCAGCTGAGGCAGGTGCCCCCCCCCAGCAGAGACATTTTGGATGCTCACCCAGGATCCCCAATACTGATGCACAAAGCCTGCTCCATGTAACAATCCATTTATTGCTTTGGGTTTTTTGTTTGTTTCTGAGCTTGCTCCCAAATTTACAGTCAAGATCTATCCTTCTGCTTCCCTTGCATAGAACTTCATGTGTTAGGAGGCTGCCTGCTGCCAGGAGCCACTCGGGTGAAGCTGAGGGATCCAGGAGTCGGTGAGGTTTGTGAGCAGCCAAGCAGAGCAGTGCCTGTGAACAGGTAGATATTTCACCTAATTCTCCTTGGGGGGGGAGGTTTGAAATGGCCTGAGAGAACCAGGTGACCTGGGCACAGGAGAAGTTGTAAATCACTCCCAGGTGTAAATCAGGGCTGGCTGATTCTCTACAGAACCTCACAGATGGTGAGATGGGGAGCAGAGCACGTTCAGCAGTCTCCAGCAGGTCTCAGCAAACCGCAGCTGTGAGGAGCAGCCCCGATGCTTCTGAGAGGACACGCTGTTCTTGCCAGTAACATCGGTGAGAAATTTATTGGAAATGCACTTTAACTTTGTCTGAGATTCACTGGTTTTAAAAAGAACAGGTTTTTAGTGCACCCCAAACCACATTCTCTTCCTGGAAAGGGTTAAGGCAAGGAAAAGCTTTTGCTTTGACCTGGCAGTTGCTGTCCAGCTGAGAATGGGAGGGATCATCACAGCTGTGAGGAGGTCAGAGGGGTGTGAGGGGTGCTGAAGTGGCACCCCCCAAGGATCAAGGGTTGGGAAGTAATTTCTGGAAGATGACTCACTCTTCATACTGAAGAATTTGAAACAGATGTGCTGTTTTCTCTGCATATGGTGCTGGAGAGGTACAAGGCAGGAGGAGTCAGGGTCATGTAGCCCCCTCATCCTCAAACAGTGCTTCAAAAACCAAACCTTCTGCCGTGAGGTGTCTCAGCCAGTGCCCTGGACTGGGCAGCCCTTCCTCTGCTCCTGAAAGACTCGGGGCCTCAATGACGGCATTTTCCCAGGTGAGCTGTGTCCTGGTGGTTCCTCTTTCCCCTCCCAGCTGCCGTGTGGGTCTGTCAGGGGGGAGATGCCTCCCGTGTGCTGGCCCCTGGCCCTGTGCTCTCCTGCTGCTGCAGCCTCTGCAGCAGGAGCAGCACATTGTCGGTGAGCTCGTTCCGCGGCCGCCCCATCCCGCCGAGCGTCACCGGCCGCAGGCTGGCGTGGGGGGGCTGGCAGGGCCCGGGGCAGCACACCTCATTCAGGAGCAGCCACGTGCTGTCAGGGTCCACCTGCATCAGGTGCAGGAAAACGCTGTGGAAAACAGAAGGAAGAAAGGAAAGAAGAGTAAGGAGAAGGCCTTTTGGTTGGCACTCGACAGAGTCATGAAGAGCTGAGGAAAACTCTGATATTGGTGATCTCTGGCAGCTGAACAGACTCAGCAGCTCATTACAGAGGCCAGTGCAGTGGCCCCTGTGCCCAAGAGAAGGCAGCTCTGTGTCTCACAGCTACAGGCACATGGGAGAAAATATTTACTATGCTCCACAG